AGATGGAACCCACGTCACTTACGTCTGCTGCATTGGCACGTAGGTTCTACCACTAGCGACATTTGAGAAGCAAAACAATCAAGAAAACAAAAAAAATGCTCACCTGAAACAAAAGACAACATCTTAACATTTGGGAGACGGGATAATAGTTTTGGAAGGACCTCCACAGGCGGCTTTTGGGTCCTACTTGTACCTCATTTCTTGATTTACGCGTTGAAAGGCTATTTATAACAACTGGTTTTTCAACTGCACGTAGGTCAGAAGCATCTATTTTCCCCCAAGCAGGTCATATTTCAACATTAGAAAAACCGAGGTTTGAGGAAAGAAAAACACATACAGGACACTTGAAAGAGAACACAGATAAGAACAAAAACACCGCAGAATGAGAAGAGTTGGCTGAGGGCTCCGAGGGCGCAGCGTTTACCTGAAGCGGATCTGTCAGCACGGCCGTCACAGCGGAGTCTGAGGGAGAAGGTGGGACCCGGGAACCGCGGCGCCTGTCTCGGCCCCAAGTCAGAGTCAGGCCGGATGGAGCGGCGCAGAGCCTCAGACCCTCCTGAGAGCAGCGGGCACAGCGCCTTCCTGCCTTCCTTTACCTCAGGCCGGCCAAGTTCCGAAGTTGCACACACGAAATCAGACTGGCGTTTAAAAATGTCGCCCGCGGTACCGGCCGGAAGATCCACCCAGACGCCGTCTTATAGAACGGAAGTGGCTCAGTCCTGTGTTTTCATTGGCCCAGTGACCCATACACGCTGCGCTTTGCTTTCAGGGAAATGTAGTTAACACCGCTGTCGGCCATGGCTAGCGTCGGAGCCCCAGACTTCCAGGAAAATTCCGCCTGACCCCGGTGGGTGGCTGGGAAGCAGTTTTCCAAGGCTCCGAGTTACTGGCGGGGTTCGCGCTTCTTTTTTTTGGGGGGGGGGCGGGGGTGTTCACGCTTCTTAAAGGGGACGCACCCAGATATCCGTGGAACCACTCTTCTCAAAGACAGAAAAAGGAGGTGTCAGCACGCGTAGGGAGTCGTGCCACACAGGGCATCAAGCATTCTAAAATTTTAACTTGTCAGCGTGAAATTGAGAATGTGGTAGAGGTAGAGGACTTAGTAACGTCAATATTTTGGAAAAATTATGAGGTCATACATACTTAGAGGTAAAAGACTTTTATGATACACACCTACAAGCAATATTTTGCATTATGATTGCAATGAATATACCTTAAAACAGACATATTTTGAAGGACTTTGACTCAAAGTGGCAGGCTGATGAATATTCCCCGAAGACAACTGGGTTCTTATCTTTGGAACTCAGAAATGTTACCTTATATGGTCAGAGACTTTGCCAACGCGATTAGGGATTTGGAGATGAGATTACCCCAAAAGTATGTTTGTCCGGAGGTGTACTCCAAAGTCTCCTCATAAAAGACAGGTAGAGGAAGGCGATTTGATGACTGAAATGCTGCAGTGCTGATCTTTGAAGAAGGAAGTGGTCTTCAGCCTTCAAACACAAGGAATGCATCTCTAGACTTTGGAAAAGGCAAGGACAACACCACATTCCTAGAGCCTCCAGAGAGACCAAGCCCCTAGTCACACTTTGACTTTATCCCTGTGAAAGTGACTTAGACTTCTGAAGTCCAGAAGAGTAAAATAATTCATAATGTTTCATCTGAAACCATTAACTTTGTGGTTATTCATTATAGCAGCCATAGAAAATGAATACGATTTAGTGACTTGGGCTTAATTACAGATTGCTCCTGCTATCCCAATGAACAGTTTTCCTAGGAAATATTTCATAAACTGAGATGTCATAAAGCATAAGTATTCCCTTCTTTCTCAAAATTCTGATACACCACCTCGGTTTTCTCAATGGACAGCCATTAATACGGTGTTATGGCTTTTTTCATAAAAATGATTAAAACACTTCAGAAGTTTCTTTGGATTTCATGAAAACACGTACTAAGATGTCTTTATAAAACCCAAGTGATGTAATCTGAACTTTTGCAAAGCAGGAGATGCCTGTATTTGATCAAATTATGGAAATTATGAAAAAGTGTCAATGTCTGGAAATACACTTTGAATTATTTAAAAGTTAAATGGGGCAGGGTGGGGCTAAGTGTCCTATGTAAAAATGAGTAAATATTTTTTATGTATGTCAAGTATGTTAATTATTAGAAGTATAAATGGTGAATAATGTTATGAGAACCTAGCCAAGTCATTCACTGAAGAAAACTGAAGTTCCAACACACTTATTGTCTTCTCAGATACTAGTAAAACAGACACTATATCAAAGAAGATATTTATCTGGCAAATGAAAACAAAAATGTCCAACATCATAAATTAGTATGGAAATGCAATCAGATGATAGTCTCCACACTTTTAAAACAGATAATATTCAAAATACTCACCATACCAACCAACTACTGGTGAGGAATATAGGGGAACTGAATACTGTCAAGGGGAATGCAAATGGGTAGTCATTCATTTTAGAATATGAAACCAAGTGTTCATACAAAGCATTTTATTTATGTGTTTGCTTACTTGTGGCAGGCGAACTGGAAACAAACCACAAAACCCCATCCTTTAACAGATGAATGGATAAACAGTTAAATGATGGTCTATCCAAATAATATATTTATAAGAAAAAAATTATTTACATTGACAACTTGGATGATTTTTAAAGTAACTATGCATGTAGAAACAAAATGACAAATAAAAAAGTAAACATTAACACTCCAATGATATTAAAGTTCTGGAAAACACTGATACTGAATTGGAGATGTACCCACAGGCCATCTCCACACTAGGGGTGTGCATACAGATGGCATTCAACTTACAGTTGAGGAGTCCCTTACAGAACCAATTCAGTAAGATGTATTAACTAAGGAGACAGTTCATTTGCTTCTCATATCATTTGAAGGCCTTTCTCTAGTATGAGCATGCTGGTGACAAATGAGGTTAGACCTTTGGCTCAAAGCTTTGTCACATTCATTACACACACACGGGCTCTATGGGTAGCGATGGACGTTTGTTATGATGATGTTTCCATGCATGGTTGAAACTTATCAAGTTGGACAATTTAGGTATGTTCTATTCAGTGCAGACCAACTATACATAAGTTCAATTAAATCTGGATAAAAATTGGCTTCACATAAAAATATGAATCTTTTTGGAAAAGGAGAACTCTGGCAATCACACCTCAAATCCATTATCGCTCTTGGTTTCATGGGAGGGATTCTGTCACAGTAGCAATGACTAGTGAGCAATCAAAGTTATCCAGGAACTCTGTCTGGGTCCTAAAAATCACATGCCTGGACTACAGGATTTCTGCTGTCATCCCCCACTGTCTTCACTGTGCAGCAATGGCCTTAAATAAACAATTTGCAGATGTTATGTGATGCCAAAACCAGTTCTGTAACACCTGAGAATTTTTGCAAAAACTTTATCATAAACAGCCTTGGGAACATTTGTGGATGCAGTTTTAGAAAAGGTGTGTCCCTTCTTGTTTGCTAGTCTCTCAGTTCCTATTAACTTCACGCCTGTTTCTGTAACAAGTATGATTCCCACCCAATGTCTGTAACCTAACACTCAGCAACGCCAGCCCCAAGTTGTGGACATTATGGCATGTAGCTCTGTTATGGCTGGACCTAGGGAACTTCTTCCCTTGAACAATACCGGGGGCATGATGTGACATCCCATGTGAAAAGACAACAACTTATGCAGCTCCAAAAAAAAAAACACTGGTGCTGCTCAAAAATATCCTCATCTCAGGGTGACCTGAAGACCTACTAAAAATTCTGACATCTGATCACCAGTCCCACAGAACCCTGCAGTCTACCCCAGGAGGCCTTGGACAACAATATAAATTAGATCAAACTAGACTGAATACTGTTCTCTGCCATTATCATTCCCACTGAAGTACACAAAGTTTGGAACACCCACAAAACCTGTTCCTCTTCATCCTTATAGTCCAATGTGGTTCTTAACAGCAGTCTCAAAGTTAACAAAACCAAAGACGCATGTTGTGTTAAACATGTGTTTATTTTTACACAAAGCAGTGCAAAATGAGGCAGTTCCCCAAATGGTGACTTGGAGCTAGAAAATCCATCCTGAGCATAAAATGATCCAATACCACCAAATAATGTAAACCTCTATGAGCTTCCAGCAGAACCCAGACTGGCAAAGCTGCTTAGATTGTGTCCTACGCAGTTGACAGGACCTAAGAGCATGACACCACCCAAGTCCTCAGGCCACTTGTGCTTCCCTCTGGGGACAGGACAGCACAAAGGTCTACCTACACTGATCTCACTATATGTGGATCTGCCACCTGGTAGACGCCCAGTATGAGGATCTGCCACTTGGTAGAGGTAAGAAACTCACAATGACATGAGGTCCATCGAGGGGCCTGGGAGGTCACAACGTATAGCCTAGCTCCTCAAAGTTTCCTAGGAACTGGGTACCCACAGACTATTTCCACATTAGGGCTGTGCACACAGATGGCATTCAACTTACAGTTGAGAAGTCCTTCACAGAGCCAGTTCAGTAAGATGTATTAACTAAGTCAACAGCTCATTTGCTTCTCTCATCTCATTTGAAGGACTTTCTCTAATATGAGCTTACTGGTGACAAAAGAGGTTAGACCTTCAGCTCAAAGCTTTGTTACATTCACTACACACATAGGGTCTCTATGGGCTGTTAGGTTCTGGTGCTCAGTTAGAGCACACATTTGACAGAAAATATTCCCCCACTTGCTGTGCTGGTGCTGCACTTCTGTAGTGTGAACCTTTTGGTGTTAATTAAGTTGGGTGCTTTGGCTAAAGACTTCTCCACATTTAGTGCACTTGTGTGGTTTTTCTCTGTTGTGAACTCAGATGCATAATGAGAGGAGAACTTTGGCTAAAACATTTCCTACATTCACTACACTCGTAATACGTCTTTGCTCAAGTATGAATTTTGTAGTGGACTTTAAGGTGGGAGCTATGCTTAAAGAACTTTCCACATTCACTACACTTGTAAGCCTTTCTCCAGTGTGAATTCTTCTATGTTTACTGAGGCTGGATATGAACCTAAAGACTTTTCCACATTCACTGCATTCATAAGGCCTCTCTCCAGTGTGGACTCTCTGGTGCTGAACAAGTTTGCTTTTAGTGATGAAGCTTTTCCCACATTCACTACACTCATATGGCTTGGCTCCAGTGTGAGTTCTCTGGTGTATAACAAGTTGGGAGCTTTGCCTAAATAGCTTTCTACACTCTCTACCTTCATAAGGCTTTTCTCCTGTATGAGTTCTTGTATGTATAACAAGGCTGGAATTACATCTAAAGACTTTCCCACATTTACTGCACTTGTAAGGCCTTTCTCCAATGTGGATTTTCTGGTGCTTAAAAAGTATGGGCTTACAAGTAAAGGTTTTTCCACACTCGCAGCACTCGTAAGGCCTCTCGCCAGTATGGACTCTCTGATGCTAAGTCTGTATTTGTGACAGAAGGATTTCCCACATTCACTGCACTTGTAAGGCCTTTCTCCAGTGTAAATTCGCTGCTGCCACACAAGTACATGTTTGTCACTAAAAGCTTTCCCACATTCACTGCACCCATAAGGCCTTTCTCTAGTGTGGACATTCCAGTGCTAAACAAGTATATATTTATAGCTGAAGGCTTTCCCACATTCAGCATATTCATAAGGCCTCTCTCCAGTGTGGACTCTCTGGTGCTGAGCAAGCTTGGACTTCCAGGAGGTCTTCCCACATTTGTGGTACTTATGCTGCCTTTGTCCATTATGAGAAAGCTCCAAAAACTCAGTGTCCTTTTGCGGTTTAATCTAGTCCTGGAAATAGTGAGAGATACCAGGGAAATCCTTCCTAGCCTCACAGCACATAAAAGCCTTCCCCAGTGCATGGACTGTGCATCTCTTCATAAAGGCCTTACCCATGTCTCTTCTAAAGAGTTTATCTCCACTGTTCTGCTGAAATTTCACACCTGCCTCACAGAGGGTCTGGCCAGAGTTTATTCCCAGGTCCTCAGCTACATACGCACAACTTTCTACATTCAGGCTACACATCTCCCAGGGAGAGGTCTTCTGGGTGGAGAGGTCGATCTTTGAGGTATTTCTCTGCGGCACTTCTACAGAAACATTCTGCTCTGAAGTCTCTGCTTGACCTTTATTCAATGCCAATAACCTGAAACTAGAGATATGAGGAGGAATTTCACATAGATTTTGGTAGAATGGGCAGCCCCATCACATATATGTGTCTGACACAGAAGGAATAAAACCATGGGACTATTTTGAGGACAAGGAAGCTCAGACAGGTTAGAAAAGCACTGCTGCACAATAATGGACCTCTCCACAAGACAGTCTGACAGCAACAGCCAAGTGGATACCACAAATAGTAACCACATTTGTTCCCAGTAATTCCTGGTCAGTCAGGCTCCAGGAAATGTTGACTGGATTGAGGCAGAACCTGGAGCACAGAGATGCAGGGGTCAACTGAGCCAAACTGGCAGTGAGTGGCTGAGAACCCAGTGAATTCATTCCAAGTCTTTTGACTTAGAAAACCTTCATTGAGAAAACTTCAGAGCTGCTGGTATTGGGGCTGCCTGTGAAAGGAGGTGGTACACACATTCACTCAGCCTTAGCACCCACAAAACAGAGGACAGGGAAGTAGTATCAGACATGCAACCACTGTCAAACTGTGAACAGAACAGACTTGACCTTGGAGAAAAAGGGGAAAGTCAGAGACCTGCCCAGGATGCTGGGACAGGGATGAGGGCCTTATTCAAGGATGCAACCAGTACAAAGGTCTCCAGCATGACATCATGGTACAGGCATCTCTGGGCCTCATCAAGGAGCCTCCATTCCTCCTGGGAAAAGTACACAGCCACATCCCCAAAGGTCACGGGGCCCTCTGATGATGGGAAGAGATGTGTGCACAAGCAGCCTCTCTCCCCAGGACCCCATAATCAACCAACCCCATCCCACTCTAACTCTGGCATCATCATCCTCCCATTTCCTAACATAGAGGGCAGTGGTACCCAAAATACTTCATCCTTCCTTGCACACTAGGTACAATTCTCAGTGACAACAGGCAGGTTGATAGACTGAGGCTATCTGTGTGGTGGGCCTGGCATGCAGGGCCCCTTCCCTTTCTTGTAAAACAACAGCCACAGTTCCCAGGATCATGTCTCCCAGACATACAGAAACTTAGGCCCACCTTTCTCTCAGACTCCTAGTACCTCAGGAAGTTAGTTCACACACCTTCCCCACAAGCATATCACTCAGTGGACTATACATCTGACCCTCATCACTGCCACCTGGTTCACAAAATTGGCATACCTCCTGCTTCCTCTCATCCCCTTCTGAACATTCAGAAAGTGCCTGACAAATACAACACAACCCCACTGTACACCCACTTTCCACTGGCAGCTCCCTAGCCCTGTTCTAAAGGATTCCCCACTAAACCTTATTTGTGACTTTATCCTCAGTCACAACATACAGATCTAAATACCCCTGGTCAGGTTCCACTTCCATACTGCAAATTATGTCTCTTCAACAGTTACAATATTTGTTCACATAACAGTCATTCAAAATCCACACCCAGTTGACAGATCTTGAGTAAACTCATCTGATATTCTATCATAAACCCCCCAAATTCCACCACAAGAACCTAGTGAGTATACAGGAGGATCAATAAGCACCAGCCTGACTTTGGTATCACTTCACCTCCTTTCTCACTTCTCCTCTGCATCAATTTCATAACCACTATCCCATAAACACCTGGACCACATGCTGCACTTTCCCTCCCCCTATCTACCTGCTGATGACCCTCGTAACAGCCCCCCACCTTCCCTTGTCCCCTAATGGCATCATGAAGACTCCCCAGCACTCTAGGTCTGCAAGTTCACCCATCCACTGGTCTCCTATACTTGGGAGTCACTGAAACATCTGAGATTCAAAACAAGACCCAATTCCTAACAGTCTCACAGAAAGGGACTCTGCTTGCTGACTCCCCCATCTCAGCTGATAGCACTGCCACCCTTCCATTGTAAAGGGAAAAAACCTTTGGAGTCATCTGTGACTCACTCCACATTATAAAATCCAGTCCACTGTTAAAACTTTAAAAACAAATTCAGGAGCCAAATATTTCTCCTACCTCCACATCTATCACTCTGGTCTAGGCACAACTACTGCTAGTCTGGATGATTACAATAGCCTCCCTGCTATCTGCCTGTCTTCCTCTTCCCCAGTCCACTGTGTACTCTGCAGCCAGGGGCAGCCTCTTTAAACCTAAGTCACATCACTTTTCCCTCTATACCAAAAATTCCACATCTGCCATCATTCTCAGAAGAGAAACCCAAATTCTCAGGCTACCAGTTTAGGCCTGACTCTGGCCCTCTTGCTCTCTGTTCTTACCAGACATTAACAAAGACCTACAAGTCCTAAAGCATTCCCACCTCTATCATGAGCTCAAGCATTTGTATGGACTACCCCTGTACCTAAGACAACTTTTCACATCTCAGTCCACTGGCTGCCAAAAATGGGAATCCCTTCATATAACCTCTGGCCTGGACTTGGAAATCAGGACTTAGGGTTTCTCTAGGGTCTCCAGACACCAGGTCCAGGAAGAGTAGCAGCAAAACACTTCCAGAACACCTGACACGCATCAGTGAAGAGTCCATAAAAGGTTCTGCTGAATGTGAAACCTGTGAGAAGAGCAGGGCCATGTAACTTTAATTCCCATCAGCAACATAGTCAAAAAAGAATATCAATAAGTGAAACATTTTATATCTAAGGCAAAGAGAAATACTTAAGGATAAAATTAATCATGTAAAAAATGACAGAAAATATTATGGAGTTCTGCCATAAAGTAATATGGATGTCTTGAGAAAAGGCTTCCCAGAAGTGGAAAATACAAGTGAAAAGTCTATCCGAGTTATGTGCAGTGTGTTTGAGTACCATGTATGAGGGTAGTGTAACTGCAGTTCAATGAGACAAAATGAAAGCAATCATGTTGGTGAGGAAATGGTTGTGGCAGGTCATATAACATTATTATACCCTAGGCTATAAATATCAAAATTAAGTCTCACTTTATGTACAGCTCTGACACCTCCATTTGATTTCCTTGTTTCTCCCTTGTCAATAATACATTTTTCTCTTCTTCTCGTTTGTAGTTGGCCACAACAGGTGACCAGGAGTTCTTATACTTCCCTTTGAAAGTTCACTTTGCTTATGTTAGGTAGTTAGAATAGGAAAAAGGAGTCCAGAATGCTGGTGGCTAAAACAGGAAGAAGGGAAAAGCCTGTGAAAATAGAACAAAGGAAGGTCTGAGGACAGGAGTGAGAACCTCAGGCAAAGCAAACAGCCCTCCTGGCTAGCCCAGTTAAAGCCTGTGAAAATAGAACAAAGGAAGGTCTGAGGACAGGAGTGAGAACCTCAGGCAAAGCAAACAGCCCTCCTGGCTAGCCCAGTTAAAGCCTGTGAAAATAGAACAAAGGAAGGTCTGAGGACAGGAGTGAGAACTTCAGGCAAAGCAACCAGCCCTCCTGGCTAGCCCAATTTACATAGAGCAGGCTGAGGGGGAGGAGAAAAAGCATATAAAAAGAGGAGCCAAAATTGAACAGCTGGCTTCTATTCTCTTCGAGTCTTTTGGGTTGGCCTGCTCTCACGCCTTGAGGATGTATTTTTCTTTGCTTGTCAAATAAAGCTGAGTTGTAATATCAAGTTGTAACACAGATCCATCCATCGCTTCAAATTTTTGCTGTGGCAAGACAGAACAGAGGAAATCACACATTTCCCCCAACATTTGTTAGATATAAAATTTCAGCTTACATAATTCATATATTAAACTCTGATTTGAAGTTATTATTACATTATACAACAGAATTAAACAACATGTACTTTTTATTTATATTTTGATAAATTTATATGGGTTTTTTTCCACCAATGATCAGAGAGATCACTTGTAAATGTTCTTGGATTCTAAAATATCTTGATATGGAGTCAAAGCCTTATAACTTATTACCCTTAAAATGATTCACTCTGTTCCCCTTATAACAAATATTTTAACAAGATATCTTCATCATTTTCTCCTCTGATACCACCAGAGTAAAGACTTAACTTAAATAACTTATAAATGACAAATATTAGAAGAGTACAATGACTGAAAAAGCAAAAACTCTCTAAGTGGGTGTGTAATGTAAAACTGTAAATGTACGTAGTGCATAGTAAGTGTGTAGCAAAATTAACTACAGGTAGATTAAGTATAATCAAGCCATTCAAAGAACTAAGTTAAAATTAGTGACAAGGAATTTTAAAAAATTAGTAACAAGGAATAAAACAAGACTAAAAAGTGGAAACGTTCATTTAAATAAAATAATAATTTTAACATATACGCTACACAAATGTGTGCTGGGTATATCCCAGAAGACATGGCAGGTATATCTACAGTAGCAATGTTTATAAATACCA